TCCCGACAGCGGGACATAAGAGAAGTGATATCTCAGCGAGAAAAGCGAAACTCTATTATATACGATCTTCATTTTTATTTAATGGAGAAAAATCGAAACTGCTGATGAAATCGAGTAGCACGATCGCGTTATTAACACATTGTCCGTATCCGACTGTAGCTCGTGATTCTACTTCGGAGATTCAATCTCTATCCCCTGTTGACCCGTTTGTGTGAAAATAAGAGATAATCGAAGAATACAGCGATCCACGTAAAAATACATCGACAATCAACTTTTTGAGTTGCAAGCGAGCGTTTCTCGTCAATAAGTTTAACTCCAAGACATTGCGTGAAGTGACGCTTACAAAACGAGGCAAAATATTATAAATTAAATTGAAATTTTCGACTCAATAAATAACAAATTAATAAGAAATAAAGAGCTGTGAGCCAAAGCAAGATGTTTAATGCTCCAAGTAAAATTAACTTTTTAATTATAATATAGTTAACAGACGTTTCGATCCAAATAGGATCATTTTTAATGTTAAGCAAAAAATTATTAATTTACATAATTTAAAAACAATATTCGATTATCTTAACGGTCTAACCATATAAAAATAATATACAAACAAAAACGGTCGTCTTAACAGTCTTCAACATAAAAATATAAGTACTAATTATTACATAATATACGCTTCAATCTAGTTCGTATATTATGTAATAATTAGTACTCACATTTTTATGTTGTCAGACTGTTAGGACGACCGTTTTTGTTTGTATATTATTTTTCAGACCGTTCAGATGACCGAATATTGTTTTTAGATTATGTATTAGTAATTTTTTGTTTAACATTGAAAATGATCCTATTTGGCTCGAAACGTCTGTCAACTATATTATAATTAAAAAGTTAATTTTACTTGGAGCATTAAACATCTTGCTTTGACTTACAGCCCTTTATTTCTTATTAAAATATTATAATATAATAAAGAATATTAATTATATCCTTTTGAACGAATTCAGCCGTGAATATGTGATCATGCCACCATATCGAATACGTAGCATAGTGCGATACGAAATGTAATGTTCAGATAATTCGGATGTTAATGATACGTTCACCGACCAATGGATGTAGGAGAACTTTCTATAATCGGCGCGCTATCTCGAAACGTTGAGCATTCTGAAAATGTTAATAGATGCGTGCGCATATACGCTTTTACTGCAAATCCGTAAATCGATGCGTTATTATGGCACCACATCATCGCATTAAATAGACGAGAACAGAGATAAAATTCGCACTAATAGCTCGGCGCTGGTAATCATTAATTTCAAATCGCATTCAATTATAATTAATCGTGCAATGACTATGCGCATTCTTGCGGAAACGTGGCATATGCAATGCATTATTATTTCAACGAACTCAACAACATTTTCCTTCTATCCATTAACATATTCACACTGTGTTGTGACGTACACACAAACATCTATTACGTTATATTAATATTTGAGTAAAATATTACCCGATGATAGCACTTTTCTCTTCAATTAATCTGCATGTTTAAGCTTAAGGGGAGATATACATCTAGGAGCCGAAAAAAAGGTCATTTTTGTGAATTTTTTTAAGGAAAACTATTTGAAATTTCGGATTGGGAGTTTTTCTATCTAAAAGTATACACATTCAGGAATATGTTCAATTTTTTTTATTAAAAAAAATAAAAAATTAACGAGGTTGTTGTATAATCTTTGGAGCGCCGTAAAAAAATCCGGGTAAACGGTACCCACTGGCGTTTCTTCAAAAATCATTTAAAACAAAAAACCAAAAAGATTATTAAATTATATACTATAATCTAGTACTTGTCATAGCCGATTTTGAAAATATCAATTTATGACAAAATGGCGGACGTTTGAACATAACATAGCAATTTTTCGACCAAAAATTAGTTATTATTTTGCCTATAAAACAAAAACTAAGCAATGAAAAAAAAATCCTATGA